CTGCAAGGTCCCCTGCAGGATGCCATGGCTGAGGCCCCCGATGCCCATCTGCTCTCTGTGCAGAGCACTGGAAACCAGATGTGAGAGAGAACAGCACAGGTGATGCAAATACTCCTGCTTTGTGTAAGGAAAGGCCAATTAAGTTATCAACTTATCGGAGGGATTTCAACAAAAGGTATAATTAATGATAGCTCAGTCGGGGAATTAATTGTTTCAACACTGTGCATAACACTATTGTTTTATTGAGGTAGTCTAAGCTGTCTAATAAATAACTCAACATATTATGAAAACCCATCTGGTGCTATACGTTTCAGATGACAAGTTCAGGTTTGTATTTAAGATATGAGATAGGTATTTAAAAGTAATTTTTAAGGTAGTAGAACAATTAGTTTTTCCTAAAAGAGGTGTTGAAGAGAGAAATGGAGTCCATTTTCCTCTTTCCCACAGAAGTTTTATGTTTTCAAATGTAATGACTTCAGTAGAATGAATCTGGCCTTAAGCAAGGGTAAGCAAGATCACGATCTGTCACTGGTTTCAACAGATTAGATATTATCAAATAAATATGTCATTTTTGAAGGTGAAAGAGCTTTTTCAGAGTTATAGAATGTTTGTTTATTATTTTGAATTAGAATTGCCTTTGAAAAACAGATTGATCCCAGCTAGAAAAAAACTCCAAATTTATAATAAAAATTAATTTTTACTTTGGACAGTTATTAGATTTGAAGTTATAAAAGAATTTGAAAGAGGATTTTCCCTCTTACCTTCACATGTAATTCCATCACCGCTGTATCCAGTTGGACAAGGCCCACATTTAAATCCTCCATCTCCAGCCAGCTCGCACCGCACACCAGGAAAACACGGCATGTTAGCACAAGTGACTGTCTGATGAGTTCTCCTGCCAGCTTTTGGCAGTTCCACATGTTCCATCGCTGTGTGGTAAACCTTTCTGGCTGGTGTGGTCTGTGCTGGAAGCTTTGCTTGGGGAGCAGACCCTGCTGGGACACTCTGGGGAGCTGTATCAAGGGAAGAACCTGTTAAATGGAAGGAGGAGGTGAGGCGTGTTGCCAAAGGAGATGCTCTCTGCTGCTCTCTGGGGAAATCTTGGGATGGTTTAGTCTTCAAGACTGCAACTTGACCAGGCCACTTCCTGGGAGAATACTTGGAATGAGTTTGCTGAACAGCATGTGGCCTCGCCAAGAGTGAGCTTGCGTTTGTGTCGCGATGGGAAGGAGCCGTCGGTGTTGTACCTGCTTTGGACTGTTTGAAATGGAGAGGGGCATGGGCTGTCACACTGACAGTTGTAGCGCTGGGGTCTGGCTCCTCATGCAGAAGAAAAGTGTTTCTATCACTCCTTTTTTCAAGAAAAGATTGTTTCTCAGGTGATGTTGGCTCCATATCAAGTTTTTGTGCTTGGGAAATCTTCCTTTTTATTGTAAGGGGTGGAGGATTAAAGACTGTGGGTTTTCTTTCCAAAATGAATGTATTTTCTTGTCTTGGAATTTGGGTTTGGGAAAAAACGGAATATGTGCTTCTTGATGTCTTTAAAATGTCTTCCTGCTGAGAGCCTCTAACATCTTCAATCTTTCTTCCAGCAAAGTCCACATGGCTTTGGGAAGATCTTGAAACTAGAGCAGAAGGAAGATATGTATTAGCCAAATTTTCTGGCCTAGGGTTTAGAGGAACCACAGTGAATGTTGAGCTCATGAGCAAACAACAGAACATCAATTCATAAAAGATTTAATCTATCCTGCATGCTAAGGGCACATTTATGGGAGCCAGCATGGAAATGACATGGTGTTACCTGCTATGGGTGATGGAAGGGGAGATGCAGTCCTCAGACCTACAGGGTGGCAGACCATGAACTTGAGGAAATTAATTTGTGCTGGTTTAGTGTCAAGCCTAAGGTAGTAAGTCTCAGTGAAGGTCAGGCATTATTCTTTGAGGTGCACCACTGGGTTTACAAGGCTGGTTTACTGATTTTGTCTTACACTAGTCCATGAGGTTTTGGCGTGGTGCACCTTTCCATGGTGCACCCTACAGTTCTTGACCACCTGAGGTAATGCATGTTTCTTACTAGCTGTCTGTATTGGCATAGTGTGCTGAGAAATGTTCTGATAGACAGTACTTAACACAGAGGTTTCACATTCAAGCTCTTGCAGTCTAGGAGTAAGATGAGACATTGCAGTTTGGGACAGATAGATATGAGAGATGGAGACATAAACAATGTTAATATGATCCTTGGGAAGATCATGTCCTAGAGAGCCTCTGGTCCCACCACATGAGCATGTAACTATGTAATGGTTTTGCAGTCCTTATGGCAAAGGAAAGTTTTAGGAAAGCGTTTAAAGGAGACAAATGGAAAAGCTTTGTTAATGCTGTGTACAGCTCCCTCCAGATGTGGGGGGCAGCATGTAGGAGAGACTGCTGGTTTGTAACTGTCACCCACTTGTTACATAGCCAGCCACCTTTTCGGTTGTGTAAGGAGGGATGATAGATGGGGAGAGGGTAGTCTGTGAAGGGCCTTAAAAGTGGAGACGAGTAGCTTGAATCAATACTTTCAGGAAGATTAATGGCCATCTGCTGACTCTAATGAATGGAAGAAGCTATTTTTAACCAGTTCTGGCATACTCACTCCATAGGAAATGGAATATATTGGATCCTGAACAAAAACCTTCACTTAGTTCTAGGGTTAACCCCGCGCAGGATGTACCTCTTCCTTTTAAATATAAATATTAATCACTTTCTTAAAACTCCTATTGATGTAGAAATTAGCCACAGTTAGCAAGGAAAGAGATTAAGATGCTTGGCAAAGGTCAAAATGAAAGTGAGAGCATTGACTAGATGAAAGGAAAACCTGGCACCCAAAGTTGTGTTTATTTGGCTGATAAACAGTGTCATCCTGCTGGTGGCTGATGAGTTTTTATTGCCCTGAAGCATGATGTTTTGGAGTTTTACAATGGTACTGGATCAAGCTATGGACATCAGTAGGTACATACATGGTAATTAGTAGAGCAGTAGGCAAATACATGGATAATACTGTCCAAAGTAAGGCTAATGAGTGATGAGGTACACAGAATGGAAGGAAAAAGATGGTGAAGCAGGGAGGACATCAGCAAAAGGGGCATGAGAGGATAGGAGAAGTCAAAGGATTTTTAAAAATGAATGAGAGAAAGGTGAAAGAAATATCCCCATAGAAAATTATCAGTAAAAGGTGATCATTACTGCCTTTAGCAAATTTGTTTCATGGACCAGAAATCAACAGGAATGACAGTGAAGGGCTGAATGACCTCTCTGACAGGTTTCCAAAATGAGCCCTGATTATAGCTTTGAGCTCCTTCCACCGTGTCATAATTAAATGGATTTTCCTCCTAACTAAATTTTAGTAAGGGGATCAGACAGACTATCTGAGAAAGGGAAATCGTTTCTTTCTTTATTAGATGATATAGGAGATATATCCATCCTGCAAATAAACTTCAGCCTTCTCTATAAGAGGAAGGATACTGTTGGAGTCTATCTATGGTAAGGCAATTTTTACATCTCAAATACTACAAGTAAAGAAGAGTAGTGATACCTCTTGGTTGCTCACTATGATGTATGCTGTTAAAGATCTGTCATGCACTCTGTAGAGGCCACTAAACTTCATAAGATGTTGCTGTCATTCAAATGTGGCAACTAGTGTCCTCAGCTGTCATTATTTCAGATTTTTACTTACAGTGATATTGTGCAATTTAGTGTTAATTAGAATACAATAGATTTTTTTCTGGAATACCTGAAAAATTATTTCTACAGCCTTCCAGATACCTAAATAAGCTAAAACAAAGAAGTGTACCAAAAGATTGCAGACTCAGTTGTCTGTAGTCAGCAGCTTTCTCAAATCCTGTATTACTTCAATTCATTTTCCTTGCCGCCGATCAATATCTCCAAATGTATAACCCATTATCAATGCAGAACTGTGATTGCATGAATCTGGTTTTCTCTGTGATGCCACTCTATGATTACATATTGGACTGGATGAAAATAACAAAAAAATGACAAGGCAAAGTGCTCAAGGTTATGTGATGCTACAAAAATACATTTTCACTACCTGTCAGTATTTCTGCCTGTCCTAACGGGGAAATGTGAAGCAGTGGAATGCTTGGGTTTATTTTTCACAGAGCTAGATAAGAGACAGAGAACCTGCTGCTTTCCTCCAGCTGTGCCTGGCAGGAGCTCCATTTGCATCGATGGAGTGGCACCACTGTAGGCACAGCTTACAGATGAGGCCCCAGAGAAGATAGATTTCTCTGTTGTCCCTCTGTCTGGGGAAGATTAGAACAAGGGTGACAGAGGGCAAATTTCCACGGCAGAAGTTTACCATTCCTCATCCAACTCAACACCAAGACACTTTCCATCTATGGTGCAGGAGTTCCCTCACATGAGAACCTTCCAGCCTTTGGTTCACTCAGTGTTTCAGATATTTTGTGCCCCTCACACAAAACTCATAAATCAGAGTTGTCATAACCAGTCTCTGGTTTGTGCTTGCCAATGCCACCATGGCATTGTTAAAGCATAGCAAATCCTGATTTCTTCTCTCACTTGAATTGCATTTTATAGTGAACTGCTAGATATCTGTAGTTGAGGAGGATCATTTTCATTCTGAAGGTTGTAAAATGACTATATAAGCTAGTGAAAACAGCAGTTCACAAACGCAGAAGACACTCAACGGTCTCTTAAACCCAGGGTGAGATACCAACACTCTGAAACACAGAAAAGAAATCGAATCCATTTTCTCTTTTCTGAGTTTCTGGTTATGTTTTTGCATATCCAAGTTTTCAGAAAAAGGCCATGTCTGGGCTGCAGTTAGAACTCCCATCCCCTTCTGACCCCAAGCATTTCTGTTCCCAGAAATACTCTGCCTGGGACAGGGTGGGCCAGGTTGGTTACCATGCTCCTCTCTGCCTTTCACCCAAGTCTTTGCTGGTCTTAGACTTAGGCACCTCCACACTTTTCTCCCCAAGCCATGTGCCTTGGAGACAGGCCCATCCTGATCTACAACTAGCAGGTGACACCTCAAATACTTGCTTAAGATTCTTGTAGACATGAATACTTATTACCTTTGCCATGGTTCTCTTTGCAGCTGTTAGAATTAAACTTACATTTTTTTTTTAAATGTAGCTTTTTTATGTCATGACATGAGATCACTATGTAATCTCAAATGCTGCTATTTCTTTTAATCTAATAGAATGCCCAAACCTGTCTACTCCTTAGGTAGGGACTGGCTCCTTCTCCCTAGCAAGATCATCCTGCATGAAGAAGAGACCAGAAGTGGTCTCTTCTGCCTGTCATTTCAAAGGATTATGGGCACCTTTAATTCTGATCAGGTTACAACTATTTCAGAATTCTGTGAATACTTTAAGAATTCATTATTAATACAATTCAATAAATTTACAATTTGTGTAGTTTTAGAGCTGTTAACATTTAGTAGTACCTGCTGTCCAGCACATTTCTCATTCAGAAGAATGTCGACAGAGAAATGCTCTTCTGACATATTATACTGTGTGGGTCATCATTTAAAATTTGAAACATCTACCAGCACATAAATCTTATTTAAAATGTCAAGACGGAACAGAAAAATTACACTGGTCTGAGAAGTCTTGTTACCAGAGTATTAAGGCTCACCCCATTTCTCTCTGTACTTTTCCATGCTAGTATATATTTCTGTATTTACTTGGTGAGAAAGGGGAAATGGAGCAGCTGTCAAAAGGAAGCTCTAGGGAAATTCTGGTTTTCTATTGATTCTTAATCTGATGTTTTATTTGATTAAGTCCTTGCATAATTTTTTTCACTAGTTAGAGTGTGTTTAATTCCTAAATTGGAATTTGTTTAATTTCTAAATTAGGCTATGTCATCCAGGCATAGCCTAATGTCTTCCCTCTCCCAAATATTTAGAAATACAGCTTTAATTTTCCCTTCCTTCCTCTTAAACATCCAAAATTTCCCCACATTCAGATGCTGGTTGGACTTTCCAGTCACTGATATCCCTTCTCATACAATCACAAGCAGTAACTCCCAGAACAAATTCCTCAGCTCCTGTAACTGAAGTACAGCTTCAGCTTCCCAAGTTTTACAAAGGGTGAAGTTCCAGAATTATTCCTGCAGAGATGAAAGCATTTTAAAAACTCATTGAGATTGGGATATTGTTATAAATTTAGTTAGGAGCTTAAGTTTAGAGTTCCTGATCCTTCACCTATTTTTTAATGTCAAAAACTGAAAAGCCAGATGTGTTGTAGAAGAGTTTAGGAACACACAACGCACTGACAGTAGGCACAGGCAAAGTTAATCCCCACTTTGAAAAATGTGCAAGTAGAGGATGTGAGTAATAACCTTTGTGCAAGAGGTGTCCAGACGTGGAATTGGCAAACCAGGAGATGATGTGGAGCTGTGTGTGGGATGGTGGCTGTGCACAGGCAGGCAGGAGGAACCAGCCAAGCTATTTAGCTTGTGCTGGGCTAACACAGTGAGGCAGCTTGTGGACCTGGCGTGCCTTACATCAGACAGGTCAGCAGATGAGCAAACCCTTTGTACGACTCTATAGCCATCTGTACAGGTGCATTCAGTCTTAGGAAAATCTGTGCTCTTCAAACCA